TGGGTGCAAATAAGGGAGACTTATTCTTAAAGTTATGGAGATTCTAAACTTCATAAGAGCTTAGAATCAAGGAATGCATCAAGGAATGCAGAAAAGATGAAAGTGTAGTTGCAACATTCTAGCTGCCCCTTCCTTGCCACAGAAAGATCTGGCTTCTCAGTTAACTTCTTTTCTTGTTGAGGTTCGATGAAGACCCACTGCTTCAACATTTTTTCTTCCAGAAACAGGTAAAAACCATTGAAAACCATAAGAAAATTTATTAATTTTCTAAACAGCAAAAAATGCCCCTTTTATTTGCACATGATTTTGCTGGGGGTTTTTTGGGTTTTTTTGAAGGGGTGGGCCTCCCTGTAAGTCCAGTCTGGTTTCCACTTGACAGGAATGGTCCATTGTTGCTTCTCTTTGGACCGCCACTTTGCTCTCGGGGGTTTCTCGCCGCCGTCCCCCGTCCCTCCCCGGCCCCCCGGGACCCTCCGGCTAGCTGTCCCCTCCGGGGCCGGGGTTTTGCCGTGGTCCCACTGCTCTGGGCTTACCAGGCAGCGTCTGGGTTGGCACGGTCCAAGCTGTGGTGTTGCCTCAGTCGCCGCTAGGATTCGAGATAAAGAGACCAAGAGAGACCAATGGTATGCTTGTCCAGAGAGATTGTATTGCCTGAACCATAGCAGGGACCAAAGGCCCCGGGCTATTGCCCAGATACAGTTTTATACAGCAAAATTAAGAGATAAGGATTAAACAATAGAGATAGTGTTCAGCTAAGGCACATCAGAACCACCCCAAGGGCCAGGTCCAATGGGAACTGCTCAGGGGTGGGGAGAAGGGGGTTTACAGAGGAATGCTGAAGCGGGACTTTCCCGAAACAGTGGAGCATACATAAATGTATCTTTTACCTCAGTTTACCATTCCCAAGGCCTTTCTAATACAATGGGGCATACATGAATGTATCCTTTTCCTCAGTTTACCATTCCCAAGGCCTTTCTAAAACCTTCCTCCACGCTACCATGCCAGCATGATAACCGCAGTCCATGTTATCCAAATCAAACTAGGAATAAAGTTAAAGGTTGTATACCTAACACAGTTGTAACATATCCATAGAAGCTTTCAGAACTTTAGGAGCAAGTTTTGGGTTTGCTTGAACTTAGGAAAACTTGGCTATATATATTAAAAACCTGTGGCTAAAAATACATATAAATTACAATCTGTAGATATGGAGAAGTCTCCAGGAAATTCAGGAATAGCTAAAGTAGCTGAAGTAGAAAAGCAATGTGGACAATCACTTCAAATGTGAGAGGTACAGACCAGCACAGCTCTTAATGTAGTTCATTGGCTCTTACCAGTTACGGATGTAATTCAACATTTAAAGCAAAGGAGAGGTTGTGATGCTTTTCGATAGTTAAGCTGCGCAGCAACCTGAACTATTTGGATGTGCACATTCATCTACAGGCACAGATTTACTGTAATACATAAGTAGCCATGTGTCTTGGCCCAAGTGCCCTTTCCTGGAAGCACACAGCCAACTGCATGTCTCTTTCCCTCCATATTCCCATGCTGTCTATTTTGCAAAAACATTTTCTGGTCTCCCTCCTCACTGCTGGCTCTCCACAGATGAACCTCTCTTCCCTTTTCCTGCTGCAGATTGTGTCTCTCTGGTGAGCACTCATCAACGCTCCTTTCTCATTCACCAGCATCATAAGTAACATACAAAAAGCTGAAATGCACTGCTTGCCATGGCCTCTGGCTGCCTGCTGAGGTGAAGCAACTGGAGTCTTGCCCACTGATAAATTGTATGTCCTCTTATTGGAGCTGCTGAGCTCTAAAATG